TGAAAACCCACGTGGACGCGACTGTGTCGCGTCCTTCTGAAGGATAAGGTATAAGTAGACGTATGGGGGGACGATGGTGGGAGGGAAAAAAACATGTTTCGATACGTGTGTACAATTATATAGGTATCGTGTGATTGGTTGTTTCGGTGTATTTCGTATCAGCCTGGGGCCTTAGTGGGCTTGAATCTTTTTTTTTTTCGGTGGTGTTATATGCTCTCTGTCTTTCTACATATATATATATATATATACACACACACATATATATATGATTTAATTATTAGACTTAACCCAATTAGCTTGAGCTTTGAACGCACATCGTGTCAACTGGCGTGCCTGTTCAGAATTATTCAGAGAGAGAGAATGGGAAGAAATTTGATTAATTTCTAACGTGTTCGCGATAAAAAAAAAAATAAAAAAAAACTGTAATATTGATCGATCGCGCGTAAGAAACAGAAGAAGTGAAAGATATCGAAGGCGATATCTAAAGTTTGCATACGTGACAGTGTGTTGTTCTGGTTAATAATATAGAGGTGATCTTGTGTGTTTGTGTTTATTTGTAGAACGAGCAGGAGATACCGGAGGGGGCGGGGGTGGTAGCACCGGTCCTGCAACCGCGGACCTCGTCTCGGACGATGACTACGGTCAGTCCACGGATACAGAATTATTGTTTCGCTGTAGAATTTGTTGGAAAGGTTTCAAGCATCCGATGTCGTTGACACTGCACAAGGACTTGCATACGGGGCAAACCAGGTGCCCGATTTGTCAGCGCATATTCAGTCGAAGTTACGACATGAAGGCTCATTTGCTGCGCATCCACAAGTGCACGTTCAGTGTCGACGCTAAATTGAACTTTCGAAAGTGATCGCCTCACGAGCATATCGATACATATTGTCGCGATATACTGTTGATCAATTTATCGGCGATCAAGCGAAGAAGAACCACCTTCTCATTTTTTTTATTCTCTAATTTTTTTTTATTGCTATTATTACATGTTACATGTACATATTATATTGCTTTTTTTCTCATCGCTCAACGGTATCCTATCCAATCGATTTTAAATTGTTCTCCGGAATTTTTGTTTCGTATTTCGAATTTTTTTTTCTTTTTTTTTTTTTGATACGTACTATTTCTACACATATTTATCATTTGCATTTCATTTTTTTTTTTTTTATATACATATATACATACGTAGTTAAGCCTGTGAATAGACACGATTTTTCGCAAAAATCGATCGGTTTAGCGATTCTTATACGCGTTGAACAGACTGATATTATAGAAGACTCGAACGAAGTGCCATCAACGACAGATGACGCGAGAAAAGTTCCTTAAAGAGAAAAACGTTATTTTAGAAAATAAGCGAATCGACCGATATTTCTTACTCGTGTCCGAGTAATATAAAATATAAAATAAGATTCGATCTTACTTAATAATTTCTTTCCTACTTTTTTTTTAATTTTTGTTTTTGTTTTGTTTTGTTTTATTTTGTTTTTTTTTTTTTTTTTTTTTTTTTTTTTTTTTTTTTTTTTTGCTTCGAAACAGACCCGCGTGTTTTTATTTCGTAAACGATCGACAACTCGTTCCAGATAATTATGAGAGAAATGCGACTGTTGTTGGTGCGATGCGCTATATTGATTTAATTTTATGTTTGCACGTTAATACATCGTATCTTTATTTATAGTTGAAAATTTTACCTTATTATAGGATGTTTGTATACGATTTTACTTTAAAAAAAAAAAAAAAAACAGTCTCGAAAGATATATCTCGCATTTGAATCACTTGTCAGGAAGTTCCAATAAAACTTTCTAAAAAAAAAAACGATACAACTTCTTTGTTTCACTCGTTCAAAGATTATAATCAAAAACAATCTAACATGTAATGTTTCGATTACATATTTCAATCGTCCGTATTACCGCAGCTACCGAATATTAAACAATTGCATAAGTGTTAAAATATTTGCAAGCTTGTTTTGTTATTCGATATTCGAACAAAATGTCCTTTCTGTTTTCTTTAACTGGACGCTTCGTTGAACATGCTTGTGGGAATTTTTTTCAGCTCGTAATGGCTATACAGAGGATACACATACATACATACATTTCAAACGCGTACAAACTGTGACGGTTATTTTTATGAAAGTCGCGTTATATATATATATATATATATATATATATATATATATATATACATATACACGCTAATCGTTGTTCCAAATACGAATACCAAACTCGCTTTCCTGCCTTTTAACTGTCTATTTCATTGTATCCTCTTAAATCGATCCTTATCCCTACTTCTCTATTTATCAGAGAGAAACTTAAACTTTCGCCATGTCGAAATATTCGTCCAACAATTTATTTTCATCTTATCGGGAAAAAAAAAAAGAAAATTGGCCTTGGAAAATTAAATAACGTGATTAAAAAAATAATAAATAGCAGAGCAAAGGCAAGCAACAACGAACAATGCAGAGAAAATATTAAAAAAAAATCTCGTTTTCAAGATTCGAAACGCAAATGCAAAAACCGATGAAATTTTATCACATAAGTATGAAGCTGTCTGTGTGTATGGGAACACTTTGGATTGTGTGCGCAGAATCTAAGCACGATACAACGCCTATTGGGAATCATCACGTGCATCGACACGAGCTACATCAGGAGCAGCAGCAACAACAGCAACAGCAACAGCAGCAGCAGCAGCAGTATCATCACCAACAGTCGCAACAACAGGAACAACATCTTCAACAACAACAACAACAGTCGAGCCTCGGTTACGAGCGGGTCAGACGTAGATCTAAGCCTCTTCACGATGAAAATGGTCGTTGGGTATGCGATGTCTGCGGTCGCACTTATAACCGTGGTGATTCCTTGGCCCATCATCGTAGTATACATAGGGGTGATACGATCTGTCCGATTTGTCAGGCTGTTTTCACACGAAAATACACGATGCGTTGTCATATGTTAAATGTTCATGGTGTTAAATAACACGAGATTACACGAGATTTAAAAAATTTGTAGATTGAAAATAAGGAGAAAAAAAAAAAAAAAGAAAAAAATATACACCATAGGCTGTGGATTCGCCATTCCGAATTCGATACAGGGATATACTAGGAAAATTAATTCCTATTTCGATGCGAATCATTTGCATCTACTTTTTTTCTTTCTTTTATTTTGCTTTCGATCGATTTTTTTTCTTACTTCATTCGTCGTATCTACGCGCGCGTTAAATATTTATTATATATCTTATCTAAGTGGTAATATATTGTGCATGAAAACGCGACACTTTTTACGATTTATTGTTAAATTTGTATCATATATATATATATATATATATAAATATATATAGTGTACATAGTAGCTGTAAGAATATGTATAAAAAAAGAATCGGAATCTTTTTGCTATTATTTTATCATTTTGCGACAATTTTTTTAATTGCTTAATTTTTTACATTTTTTATCTTTATTTGGAATACAAATATTGCGTAAAGGGAAAGAGAAGAGAACGAAAAACTATTACTTTTCATGCTCCTGAATTCGATTAATTTCCAATTGATTACTATTACATACATGTCGTCTCTTTCCTCGTTAATTCGGAATAATACACGAGAATTAGGAGAATTTCTTGTTTCTTTTTCTTTTTTTTTTTTGTTTTTTTTTTTTTTTTTTTTAACAAGAAACTCTCGTTATCGTTATAAAATGTGAAACGAATTAATACGTAAAAAATCATTCCATAGTAGCTTGTAAAAATGACGAGATACCATCGTCGTTCTTCCTTTTTTGTACGTATATACATGCGTGAGGTGAAAAATAAAAGTATCATATAAGATGTTTTCCTTTTTTTTTGTTTCGTCTTTTTATTTCTTTTTCTTTCTTTTTTTTTTTCATTTTTCTTTTTCTCTCACATCGGTGTCAGCGTCTTCGAAGATGTCGAATGATCAATGATAATTCTCGATTCATTGCTCGATATTTTTTTTTATCAATTTTGTCATAGATTCACATATATAAAAAAGAAAAAAAAGAACACATTATATTGCTCAAAAGGAATACATGATTGTCGGTTCACTGCGCACAACAGGCAGTTTTTACGAATATTCACACACACACGCAAAAAAAAAAAAAAAAAAATTAAATTTCTTGTGTACCATACATAAGGTAAACGTGTGATCACCGTAATTACAAAATGCTTGTTTTGTGATTGATTTTTCAATTGCATTTTCTAACTGCAACCGATACCGATACCTTCGATTAGGAATTTTTATATATATATATATTATTCTTCTGCATGAATAATGAAACATTTTTCTTTTTGTACGTACATACAATTGTTTTGTGTCGTTTCAAACGTTGTATCCACAATATTCACCGTATTCAGCATGATTACTCCAAGAGTTTACAGTTGCGTGTTTACCATCTCGTGGTTGCTCCTCCTTGTACAACTCATCGTGTGTGCTGCCTTTTCTTACCGTTTAACTCCTCGACCTGTTCATACATAGATCGAGGAACGAGTATGCGTAGTAGTAAACGGATGAATTGATGAACAGTAGGTAGAAAGAAGAGAAAGTATAAAAAGTGTAATTGAAAGAAATTGAGAGAAAGAAAGAGAGAAAGAGAGGGAGAGAAAGAGGAGAGTGAAAGTGAGAGAGAAAGAAAGGAGGAAAGAAGGCAAGGAAGGAAAGGAAGAAGGAAAGCGAGAAAGCAAGGAAGAAAGAAAGAAAGAATGAAAAGAAGGGTAGAGGAAAAGAAAAAAAAATTAGCGAGAGAAAAATATAATAGAGAGAGAAAGAGAGCGAGAGCGAGAGAGAGAGAGAGAGAGAGAGAGAGAGAGAGAGAGAGAGAGAGAGATCGGGTGCAAAATATATTTTGTATAACATTGTATTATGATTTTCTATCTCTAAGATCGTTTCGCAAAGACGGTACGCAAGAGATTAAAAAAAAAAAAAAAAAAGATGATATTATGAGTGTTGCACGACGATGGGCGTGTATGTACTACCATGAACGTTTATATTTGATTTAGATTCTCGTACGGTGGTCATCGAACAGCCGTCGCATTCGTGCAAACTCTGCGGTAAAACGTTTTGGAATCGGGACTCGATGTACAAACACATGAACATGCACAAAGGGACGACTCAGTGTCCGGTGTGCCATAAAGTGCTGAGCCGCACGACACACATGAAGCGACATTTAAAAAATCGGCACGGTTGGCTAGGCGTGGGGACGACCGCCGCAGCCGCCGCAACTGCAGTTGCGAACGCCGCCGCAGCAGCAGCAGCAGCAGCCGCAGCCGCAGCCGCAGCCGCCGCCGGGAATGGAGCTGGGACAGGAGGAACCGCATCCACCAACGCCGTCCCTGGTGTCGTCCCCGTTGTATCCGCTGTCAGCGGCGCCTCCACGCCACCTGACGCCTCTGTCACCACGCCTCTGCCACAGCCTATTTCCGTCTCTTCCACTGCGATCGCCCACCAAAACGTCGGAAGTCCCACCGCTGGTCTCGAGCCTAACGCCACCTATACCACTATACGCATCAGAGAGAGCAGCGTCGAGAGAATCACGTCTAGTCCTATTCCTTAGTGCGAACATATCCTGCCCAACTCGTACACCCGTCGACGTAAGAGAGGATAAATCATCCTTTCCCCGTTTCTTTTTTTTCTTCTTCTCTCCCTCCCCCTTCTTTCCTTGCTTTTTTTTTCTTCATTCGTTCACTTCTCTCCTCGTGTACGCGTATCGTTTTCGATCCAAGATCGGAAAGATTTTTACATATATATATATATGTATATGTGATATGTATGTATATGTATATATATGTAAGGTTAGGTTATTAGGAACGTATCTTTGCTCGATTGAAAATGAATTAACGAATATGGTGGTGATCAACGAAATGCGATGTAAATAATGTAAGCGAATGAGATCGAGTTCGTTCGAGAGAATACCGGGACAAGTTTATTTTTTTTTTTTTTTTTATTCACAAGTAATAATTTTTCTCATCTCGGAAACGCGATGCGTAAAATATCTCTCTAGTCGTCGACGGGAAGCCTGTTAAAGAGACGCCTGTCTTACACTTTTCACCCTAGTCATTTATACACATATATGTGTATACGTTCGAGTTAATGTGTATCTATCTGTATATGCATATACGAAAGAGGAGAAGATGTGTAGAGAAGAGAAGAGAGAAGAATGGAAGAAGGAAGAGAGAAAGAAAAAAAAAGAAAAGGAGTAGATTTCGCGTGCGAATTATGATTACCAGGAGGAGAATAAACCTATATTATTAACCTTTTTTATAACCAAAGACATGCTATAGGAAAGAAAGAAAAAGGCAAATTATTTTATCTAGTCAAATGAGTTCGGTACTTAATAGCTTGTAAGGAGGAATGTGCATCTTTCTTTGTACGATCGATCAAGAGTATACATAATGTTCGCGTGCTATCCTGAAAGTAGTAGATCAATTGTGAGACTGAGCAAAAAAAAAAAAAAAAAAAAAAAAAAAAAAAAAAAAAAAAATATAATATTTTTATTTTTTTTTTTTTTTTTTGTTTTTTTTTTTTTTTTTTTTTTTTTTTTTTTTTTTTTTTTTTTTTTTTTTTTTTTTTTTTTTTTTTTTTTAAGCTAAATAATCTTTCCGACTGACGACTTTCAGCGAATATCTTTAACCTCGACGAAAGTTTCGTAACCGACTATCGGTATATTTCTTTTTTCCGCGTACGATATGAGCAAGATCGTAATAAAAACTTTCCTCGAGTTTATAACTAATTCGTAATAGGTGTCTATGTTGCCACGGATGCGTAAAACGTATCCAATCGTCAATCGAACGTATGATCTTATATATATATATATATATATATATCGAAGAAACGTGCCATTTTCATTGCTCTATTTTTTTTCTTTTCTTTTCTTTTTTTTAAGCAAATAAGCGAAACTCTTCGCGTTCGCGTTTTGTGGCCAACCTGTTCTCCGCATTGGCAGTCGAGTTGGCTTTCGAGTTGCTCATTTATATTCGTACGTTTACCCCTGGATTAAAATTTTTGGCCATAATACATATATGTTTACGATATTGAATATATACTCATATGTACTATTTTAGTTATAAGCTTGCTCGGAAGCTTGCCGAATTCGTGTTCACGAATATGTACGTACTACCAACTGATTATTATTTACGGAATGTAAATAGAATTTTATTTTCGTTTACATCATCTATATATATATATATATATATATATTCCGATATGGAATATAAAACTTTAATATGTTATTTTTGTGTTATCTACTTTTTGTTTATTTTGTTATTCATATTGTTTGCTTGTTTCTCTTTAGTTTTTAATTTATCTTTTTTTTATCGCGTTACAATTTTATTTTAATCCAAAGAATTAATATAATGCCGATAGGATGGCTCGCCTTCTATCCGGCTGGATCTAATCCAATGATTCGAGTCTTTTATCTTTGTGCAATTATACGAAGAGGCTATATAGTTCGCTCGGTATGATCTCTTATTTGCTACATGCCAAAGTTTTTGAACACGTGAGAAACGAAAAATCAAAAAAAAAAAAAAAAAAAAAAAAAAAATGAAATGAAATGAAATGTAATGTAATGTATATTTTGCGAAAAAAAAACTTTATTGTACAAATCGAAGCTAGTTGACAAAAATCACCAAAGGGAACAATTTGACGCGATTGTTCCAAATTAAAACATCACGTTGATTACGCATCACTGATTTTTTTTAATTTTATTACATCTTCTGCGTAATTTCTGCTTAAAAAAAAAAAATTGTTAACGGAAAAGAATGTTGTTACGAAGAACGTGTTGTGATTTAATTTTTTTTTAACTGAGAAATCAGAGTGACGGTCAATGCTCGCCGATTTTTAATTAACTATTCTTCGTTGCGCGAAGAAGTAAATTTTCTTTTTTATCGACGATGCTTGAGTTACGATTTGCAAATCGCATGCGTCTTATTTTGTGCTTATTATATATATATATATATATTTTACGTTGCACAATTTGCACGTATACTTTTTTTTTTTCGATCGTGTAATTTCGAGTCGTCTTCTATCGAAATTGGCAATTGCTTCTTTAGAAAAAAAAAAAAATTGTTCGACGTTTAATGGGATATATATATACACACATATACACATACACATACATACATATATATTCTTTTGTACGTCAATTTAATTTCTCCCTTTTTTCTTTATTAATTTATATTTAGTTTAATTTACGATCTAAGTGAAATTCTTTTTAAGGAATTAAGGGAAATATATTAAATAAAATGTATATGCGTTTATTTATACATATTTGTGTATATGATACACGTATACAATTTAAAAAAATTAAAAAAAAAAAAAAAAAAAAAAAGAAACGAATGTGCACATTCCTCAGAAGCCACAATACAAATAAGTACAAGATTGCCAATTATTACTTTAGACAAATTGATATTTCTTTCTTTAATTATTTATATAAAAATAAGAAGTATCTATATATATATATAAATAAATAAATAAATAAATAAATAAATAAATATATAAATATACAAATACAAATATATATATATATAAATATAAATATATTAAAAAATATATATATATTTAAAAATATATTATAATATATCTCTCAATTACACAATCTTATGTTTGGCTTATGCAAGTTAACGATGTAAGTGAAAAAGAAAAAAAGAAAAAAAAAAAAAGAAAAAAAAAGGAATATGTGTGAATAAAGTTTCAAAATGTGAATAAAAGCAGAGTTCTTTCTTACATACAAAAAATCGAGATAACAAAAAAAAAAAACATTTTCGATGTCGCATTTACGCTGTAAAATTTGTTAAAAATTTAAAAAACATAAGTTGTTGTATCTCTTCGATCTGCTCAGAATATCGCAAGAAACGACAAATTTCACATTTCTCTCTCTCCCCCTACCCCCCTCCCTATTATTATTTTTCCAATTATTCTGAATTCCAGACAGACTTGACTGTACACTTGTACGAGTCATTTTTCCCGATAAAAATTAAACCGAAAAAAAGATGAAAGTGTAAGAAGTTGGACGATTCATCGAAAGAATTACCTCTTATTATTACCTACTCGTGTTAAGGAAGATCGGGGATGAATAATTTGCGTGCGTTCAACAATCGTATAATCTATATATATATATATATATATATATATATATATATATACATAGATATTTATTTATTTAATTTATATCCGTAAATAAAAACCTTTTTCAATTAACATCGATTAACGATTCTGTTTTGGAACACGGTTATAATTATTTTACAGCAGTTGTCATTGTATCGTGTTAATTGTTGCTTTAACGTGTTCACGCTTCTCACTATTTTATACCTCGTTTTACTTTCAACTTTGACACAGACATAATAATATCCCATTAATACTGTGTACTTAGTTACGTTGACCGACAAGGTCCGTGAATCGCATCGAATCGATGTAAGTTGTTGTTTAGATTAAAAAAAAAAAAGAAGAAAAAAAAGAAAAAAATCGGAATGAATATTTTTAGAAAGATAGGATCCTCCGTTGATATCGCGAGATATCACAGAGCTTGACGATCTGGAGCGATCGTTCTTTTTTTTTTTTTTTTTTTTTTTTTTTTTTTTTTTTTTTTTTTTTTTTTGATAAAAAATTTATCACGGCGAATGGAATTTGGCTCTGTGGGAAGGAAAAACGCGAATCAACGGAGGATTCGAGGTGGTGAGTCGGAAAGGCGGTACATCCAGCACAGGTAGAAGGACGAGTCTAGTCTGTGTTACGTGTTACTGTCCCCTCGAATTTTTTTTTTTTTTTGATTGTGAAATGTAATTTGAAACTAGAAAGCATTTGCTTAAATGAATGAGGAATCGGCGGGTCACGTGGCTGTTAATGTGTTGCAGGGGGGGTGGGACGCAATCGGAAGCATGTTGGCGATACAACTGGTCAAGTGGTGATGCAGGGTCCAGGGCGTTTTTCGTGCAGACTCTGCGGAAGCGTTTACAAGCACCTTGCTTCGCTGACCCAGCACCTCGAAGTGCATCGCAACCAGACTACCTGCATTCTCTGCCATACCACTCTCAGTCGTAGAACCGACCTGCGACGTCACATGCGTTTGAAACATAACATGCAATGGCAAAAAACGATCCAGAAGCAGCGCAGCTCGAAAAACGAATTGGACTCGTAAACGCGAATTCCACGCGAGCATTGCTTCTCGCTCCACCCTGATTCCCCCCCCTCTTACCTACCTTCGTCTGTCTCTCTCCTTTCCTCTTTTCTTTTCTTTCTTTTTCATTTTCCTTCTCGTCGATTCAAAATATTTATATTTTTCTTTCTCCACGCGCTAGCATTAGATAAGTAAATCTTATCGAAACAACGCGGTATATATATATATATATATATTAATGTTCGTGCACAAACGTGTCATCGACTGTTGCGTTTCTCTTGCTTATTACCGTATTAAAGTCGAGAAATTGAAAACTTTTTTTTTTTAAATTCGTCGTCGTTCTCACGATTAGTGATAGAGATTAAGCGTGAAAACAAAAAAAATAATGATTTGAGGACAGTAACATGAGACTCGACAATTGTTTTTATTGTTTTTTTTTTTTTTTTTTTTTTTTTTATTATTATAATCTCGATCTCATTTTTTTTCTTAAAACTCGGAAAACACGCAGGATTTGTCATGAGCGAAACAAATTAGGGATGCACGTTTCATCCCGTTCGAATAAAGAAAGATAAGAAACGATTCGAACGATTCGATCCTAATTTCGTAAGCTTTATCCTTATCCCTTTATTATATTTGTGATACGCGTTTTCAGCAAGAATCTTCGTCGCGCATGCTCTCGCTTTCGTTTCTCATCGCTGCGCTTTCAGTGTAAAGTGATAAGAAATCGAAAGATTTTATTCCAATTTGTAATCCTGTTAACGCGTTCTCTAATAAGAATTCTAGTCAACACTGTACAGTACTTTTTTTTTTTTTTTTTTTTAAGTGATCGTTAACACGTTTCTTTCCCTTTAATCGTATATTCGCTTATGTCGATTTTATAATCGATAATGTTCCGCATTGAGATCTGTGTTACGCGCACCGATTATTACTATTATGCGCGAAAAATGCTTCGATAACTATCGCGTTCAAGGGGGGAAAAGAAATTACGAGATCGATCGATAATAATCGACACGACTGAGCGATGGTTATCGATGGAGCGCATACGAATCTCTTTTGTAGTTTTTTTTTTTTTCGAATAATGCACAACGGGTAATAGAATTGATGAAATATTATTAAAAAAAAAAAAAAATATCCATATTGCACGAGAATACTAGAAGAATTATGAGGACGATTTCACGAAGCGAGTAACACGACGACGATAAAATGAGAAAATGTAAGACGCGCAAGAGATGGCGTTCTTTCCATCTTCGAGATACTCGTCGCTAAATTATTCGGAATAACAACTTTCGTATAGTATTACACTGACTCTGTTTACACGTCTCGTTGTTCGCGTGCTCGATGATTTTTTCTTTGCGATAAAGATGAACTTAGCTACTTGAAAGGAGCGCATAGACAGTGCCTTACACACAATTTATCTAGTTTTACATTTTACATACATACATACATACATACGTATTATAACTTTCCAGATGTTTACCACAGTTGAACGCGTATAAGAGAATATAAGAGAACTGAAAGAGTTTTATTCTTTTCACCTGTGACTTCGTGTAAACATTGTCTTTGTATAAAGAAACGAGAAATCTTCTTCGTTCGTACTTTATATATAACCTTATATACATATACATACGACGAGAATGTAATTTTCGATCGATCGATACGGTCCGGAAATTAATTGTATCTTTTAACCTGTTCTTTTTTATCCTTATTCGTTACTTTACTTTTTTCTTTTTTATTTCGCGATTTCACGAGTCTCGAATGTGTCGCGTTACCGTTCAAAAATTCGAAACTTTGTCGATTTTTTTTTACGTTTCGCGTGTCGCTTTATCCCAAAATGATCTCGAATGAAAAAATTCTATTTACTCTCGATCGTTAGATCATATCTATATCACGAAATTCTTAGGAATAGTTAAAAAAAAAAAAATATAATTACTTCGTAATATTTTAGGAAAGATACGATTCAAAGCTTGAATATAGCGAGACGAAATATATTGTGCGTAATGATTCGTAATGCGACACAGTGAATCTTAATTATAGTTATGATGATAAAGATTAAAAAGAGAGAAGAGAGAAAAAGAAAAAAAAAAAAAAAAAAAAGAAAAAATCTCGGTGATTTCGATTAACACGTGTCTGATTAATTCGCGAGATTACAGACATTCCGTACCAATTATCGATACGAAATTATACGTAAAGAGACTTCGTTGTTCGATAAAAGACATTGTTTATGCACAATGAAGCACTTAACCGTAGAATTACCGTAGTTTTTAAACTTAGATGTTCGCTGTTGAGGATCGCACGAAGTTTCAAGGTAAAAAAAAAAAAAGAAAAAAAAAAAAAAATAAACATTTTTCGACCTTACCTACTTCGTAAACAATCGATTAATGCATTACCTAAATGTTTAGTGAAATATGTACTTGATTGCAATGCGTTTTTTTTTTTTTTTTCTTAGTTACTAAGAATATCAAGTGTGACGGCGTAAGTAAATTTGTACGATTGTTGATTGTCCGCACGACAATTAACAAACAACGCGTTTGCTAAATCGATTTCGACCATCACCGTTTCAATCGTTACGTCGTCACATCGATTAAACGAATATTTATTACTGTCGTATACTTTACGATTACGCGCGCAAAAAAAAGAAGCAAAAAAAAAAAAAAAAAAAAAGAGAAAAAAGAAAGAAAAAAAAAAAAAGAAGTGCATTTACCAAAACGATTAGCTCGCAAATGAAGGATAATTCCGTTTTGACAGAGATTGTCAGTAGGTTTCGCGAAAAAAAATGATACGCATAGGTATCACGTTTCGATGAAATTTTTATTTCTAATATAAACGTATGATCAAATATATATATATATATATATATATATATATCACAAATGCGAAAACGCACCACGTACCTAGACACAAAAGATACAAAGTGACTGTAGATACACGACGATCGAATAACGTCGATAGTCGCAAGCTTTTTATTTCAATTTAAAGAAAAACGTGTTATACGAACATAATATTAATTGTGAGCTTGTAAGTGAGTTAAAACTGACATAAAAATATGCTTTAAAATGTTATTACAGCAATGTAAATAAATCAATTTACAATGGAAGTTGCAAGTGTTGATATTTAAAAAAAAAAAAGAAAAAAAAAAGTGACGTGGCTAGGTACTAAATATACATAATATAGTTGCGATCTGAACGCGATAAAATTGTGAAATAGACAGTTGGCTTAATTTAATTTATGTTCCAGACATATTATTACCGTTTCATATTAGAGACGTATCAATTACATTTAATTCGATTTGTGATATTTATTTACAAGAGAGTAAAAATATATAACGTAGATATAACAATCTAATGTTCTTTTAAATGTATTATTGATTACGACCTTATTTTCTATTTCTGTGGTGTGTGAACGTATATACTTCTTTAACTTTTGTTCTTTTTTTTTTTTTTTTTTTTTTTTCTTTTATTCACTTATAGTGTTTTAATACATAGCATCGCTGTAAAAGTTGCCAGTAATGTATTCTATTTCGATTTATCGGAAAAGGGATAAAACTTTATTCGGTTTATATCTTCGTAACGAATTTTCTTATAAAATTCTTGGTGATTTTTAACAATTCTTAAAAAATTAATGAAAATTTTTAATCAAATTTAATAGTACAATTTCAAATGTTCAAAAATCCCAAGTTATAATAACAATGTGATCTTCGTAATTTACAATACATTTGCTTTACACTTTCGATCTTGGTTATTTTATAATATTGATCGATAATAATAATTTGCATAACAATAATTTGTCGTTTCGTTGCGATAAATTTTTTCGTTTTATAATTTTAATGTTCGTCACGGAGATAAAAAAAGAGATAAATTCGTTGCAAGTTATTTGTATGGATATTTGGGTATTAGTAAAAAGTAGTTGTGAAAAAAAAAAAAAAGAGAAAATTTAAAAACATCCCTCGATCAAATATTTTTAACGCGATACGATATGATTGCAGCGTTAGTTATAGGAAGAAATAAATTTATAGAGACGCACACAAGGATACCGGGATGGAGTTTACATACGCCAGGATCGTTCTGTGATAAATGCGGTGTAACATTTACAACGCAGCACGCCCTTCTACGGCATATCACATCGAGACACGAGGAGTCGCAGAGTTCTACCGCGTTCTGCAATATTTGTCAACGATTTTTCAAAACAAAGTGGAGTTTGGCAACCCATAATAGTAAATATCATAGAAACTGTTAATGAAATAATAAGATAAATAAATTTTCGAATAAAATTTATTCAAATTCGGATCGGGTCTCGGGCTTCGAGAAAAGAAATGTAAAAACTTAGCAGAATCAGATTTATGCTACAATTGTTGTATGCGAATATTTTCCATAACAGGTATATAAGATCATACTAGAGAAAGAAAGAGAGCGAGCGAGAGAAAGAGAGAGAGAGAGAGAGAGAGAAAAGAGAAAGATAAGTATTACATCGGTTAAGCAAGTACTAGGTGTCTATAACTAAATTATTTTATTAAATATTTATTTCACATTCTCTAAATGTAACTGTTCAATCAAATAGAGAAACAAAGACGATTACAAGTCCTTGTAATGTAACACAGCGCAGCGAATGTAACATTGGAAAGCATCCTATTATATTTGTAGTTGATCTTGTACAATCTGTAATATTCACACACACACACACATACATTCCAAAACAAGGAATGTCATAATTATAAGCCCCCCCTTAATGCGAGTACCAAATGCAATACTGATCCACCTTGAACTTTATAATCCTGCGCCGTTTTTTCGTCATTCCTAAAAGACAACAAAATTTTTTTTATATCTTCATCTCTCAAATTCCTTTTCTGTTTTAGTAAACACACATTTAAAATCGTCAATTAATTAGAAAAAAAAAAAAAAAGAAAAATACAGCTATGAGTATTGATTAATACAATTCTGATTATTTTTTATGTACATATAAGATATATATTTGACAAGGAAAAATAAGAAGAAATGATGTTAAAATATCATAATTGATGGAACAGGAACAAGGAAACCAGGGCAACTATACAACTCAGATTCAATAAGGACTCTAGAAAGTCACTTTCCAGAATATGTTCCATCAACACCAAAGAAGATGAATGCTACGAGAAGATGTAAAGTTTGTGCATCTAAGGGAATGCGAAAGGAATCTCGTTATTATTGCGCTTATTGTAATGTAGGGCTATGTGTCACACCATGTTTTAAGGAATATCATATTAAAAGTAATGTCGAATGAAAACATGAATTAAACACAATTTTCTCTTTAAGAAATTATCTCTTGTACAATTGTGTAAATTATTTCTATATTCAATTATAATACCTACATTTGCTTTCCAGAAAATATCAATCGTTGTTGTTGCGGCGGTATTCCTTCCTTTTCTTCCACTCTTTCCTTGATCCTTTCTACCTTATCTGTAGGTTCTATATCTATTTCAATCTATGAGAATAATGATATCTGTGATTGCTATTAAACTTAGATATAAATCTGTTTGTTATATATATATATATTTAAAATATATTTGTGAAATGCAAAATATATATATATAGTGAATAACAATAAATGCGAAAAAATATATCTGTCGTATAAAACAAACTCTAATTAATAACGATACATTATTAATGATACATCAAATGTCAAATTTTACATTTTTAACTGACAACACGATTTTGCACTAAACTATATTAGAATAGATGATTTTGCTTCTATAATTGTTTTTTTTTTCCTTAACGTATACCGATAAATGTTATTTTATATATTATATCGTCGAATCTCATTAAAAATATATAAGATTATTTTGCAGCTACTTGCCTCCTTTCCGGTAAGAGTCTGAAACAAGGTTAGAATATATTTTCAGAACTGATTATAAATGTTGTAGCTCCATCTCCGCCGGTCAATGTTCTTACCTTCACTTTGATCAACATTGTTTATGCGTTAAAAAACAATTTAAATAATCACTGTATGATTGCAAATTAAAAACTATTGACACAAATATGCGGTTCTTTGAACTGTGGATAAAAAATTCTGCACTAGTTCCAATGAAAACTCTCTATACCTCCATCTGACGGCAATTCATGAACATATATATCGATACTTTTCGAACTTTAAACAATTTCAATTTATTAATATATTTCTTCGAAACAAATGTATTCAAATCGTTTTTATATTCATATTCGATTCCAAATTATACGAACATAACGATTTTATATAATAATTAAACGTATTCAGTAATTAAATAACGAAAGCAATGATATCAATTTGTATAAATATAATTTTATTCATAATTTTTTAGTAATAAGTTTATATCAATTAATGTTATAGTGTAACAGTGTAATATAGCAATGAAAAATATATAATATTATAATGATATTTGTACGTAATCTTATTAAATTACAAATTAAAAGTTATATATCTTTTTACAAAATAAAAATCGATAAATAAACATTGTTTATCATTACATTTTTAATTTTTCTTCTTGAGCAATAAGTTGATTTTTTATTTTCTGTAAAAGTTCCTTTTTAACAGAATCTGGAACAAGTGTTCTTGCTTTAGTTGTGACCATCGAAAGCAATTTGTCATAAGTAATGTCATGACCATGTTCTTTTATTAATTCTTTGCAGATTAACTTTACTTGATCCCTCCATCCACATTCGACTAATCGACGACGTAGCAATTCTTTCAGCCTAAGGGAAAAAGAAGGTTAATTATCATTTTAATGTAAAAAATAAAAAAAAAATTATTGAAAAGAAAGAGAATAAAAAAAATAATATATGAGAATTATTAATAATAGAATAAAAATATATATTATTCAAAGTTAAAAATTTGAACTTTTAGTAGACATAATAGAAGAAACAGAATATAAAATTATAAAAAAATATATGAAGAATACAATGAATATATTTACCCGTCACGATCGCCAACCATAACTAGCCTTTGATGTGGAGCAGTCTTCATTAAGAATATTAATTTTATCTATCTTAATATTAATATAATTATTATTATTTCCTTTCGCAATTTTAAAAAGTTTTCTAAAGATAATTTCACTAGTCACCTCTCACTAACATTTAAGACAGGTTATGTTGTTTTATCTTTTCAATTTCATAACCTAACATCGTTTCATTTCTCGCATAGACGATGAAGTAGCGAAACATGGTTGTAGGTTAGGAAAGTGTCGTTTAAAGTGAGTCTTCATTAAAGTAATGTTATAAATATTTATTCACAAATCTTAACATTTTTATAAATGAAACATTTCTTATTCGTACATAGGTATGTAAAATTTAAAAAGGAAATATCTAAATAGTGAATAATTGAAAAATATTTTTAGCACATAATACGAAAAATTGTGCAATATTTGTGTAATTAGAAATTTTATTTACAATTGTATTTCATAATGTGTATTTTATATTAAGAATCAGTTTTATATTAATAATATCCTTATAATTAACTTTTAATATTTTTATTAATTATTTTGCATTAATTTTTTTCATAAAGTTTTAAATTAGTTTACATGTAATAGTAAACAAAATTATTCAATATTTTGCAATAATTATCATTTATCTCTCTTGCGTAAATAATATTTATCATTATTTTTAGGAAATGGCATCAACACGAATAATCAATTATGTTTTATATAAAAGATTTGTAACAATCTCTAGTTTAAAAAATGTATGCATTCTCTCTACTTTTAATATTAATTCTAATTTTCGACAAAATGCGTATTATTGCACAAAGAAATCAATTGTTAAAACAGATCCTGTGGAACGTGAGAATAAGATACAAATTGGATTTGCGGATGTAGGTAAATTTCGTATATATCTGCGAAAATATACATGATGTAAAAATCGATGCTACTCTGATTATTATTTTTATTTCAGTCAAAGAGAATACAAAATCTATTGGATACTTAGGCGTGATAATTGGTGGTATAGGAATTACAGCTTTCATGTTTTATATTATTTTTGATGAATTATTTTCCAGTAAAAGTCCAAATAGTGTATATAGTAAAGCGTTAGATCGCTGTATTAAACATCCTAAAATAATAGATGTTCTTGGAGAACCGATAAAAGCATACGGTGAAATGGGTAGACGTAGAAGTCATATAAGGTAAATTTATTTTCATTATTATTTTCCATTATCATCTTTTTTATTATCTCTAATAATACGTATAATTTCAGTCGTATTATCTTTGAAAAAAATGGAATACGTCACATGAGAATGAAATTTTATATTCAAGGTATAAGAAGACGTGGAACTGTGCACTTGGAAGTGCAAGAAGTAAGACATAATATTTCAATAATATTTTTATGTTGATTTTTAATTTGATATTAATTTAAAATTTAATTATAGGATACATCTGGTAATTATATGTATAGGTATTTATATGTAGTTGTGGATGATATTCAAAGTGTTATTAAAATAGAAGATAATAGAGAGGAGAACAAAAACTACAGTACCGAGACAGAAGATCAATGGAGCTAATGTATTAGGTCTTTCTAATTAATTAATATTTGATATGTCGTGTATAGAAATGCTTATAATCGATTATTTGCAATATTATTTTAAATATACTTTTATAAAATTTGTGTCAAATAAAAATATTAGAACTTAGAAAAACGTTTTATACTCGTTTTATACATTAATCACACATTTGTAAATAATAGATAATAAATAAAATAAATTAATCGCAAAATAAAATATGCGTTACGATAACGCATATGTGAAAGGAAAAACGTTCGAAAAGAATAGAAGTTTAACGTTAAAATTACGTTATCGTTAATAGGGAAACTATTTCTTTAGAATTGTTTACTCATTAAGAAAAGAGATAAATAGTGCGATGACAAGATAAAGATAAAGATAAAGATATATAAAGATCGTTAGCATTCGCGATCGCCTAAAAATTGATCGAAGGTTGCGCAGATCTTGATGTCTGCATCATTCACGATGCCAACTGATTCTCTGACAGTCGCTCATTTACTTGCGAGCAGATCGACACAACGCATCGTCTATCAGTCCGTATTCGAGTTTAAAATGTGAAGTGATATCATTATATTTTTTTTAATCTTTGTTTTTAAATTTTTCAGAATTATTAATATTTGAATTATATATATAACAATTTTTAACAAATTTATTCGACGAACGAAAACATCATTATAAATGTTTATCTTTTTCGAATTTATATATATATATACATACATATATGTATATATATATATGATTGATAGCTCAAGATTCCAAGTTTTTTTTCTGCTAACTCGAGTCATATTCTTTTACGGATAAGTATACATCACATATTTAAAATATGTTTCGCAATGATAAATTAAAACGACGTGATGTGTAAAATATGATGGAATCGAAATGGAATTGTCATAAAATGTCACAAAATATCGTGAAAAATATGAAAGATATAAACTTTTGAATTCATTTCATTCACTGTAAAAGACTGAAAAAAAAAAAAAAAAAAAATGGGCAAATTTTGTTCGTGTTTCTCAAGATTCAGAGCAATCTTTAGACCCGAAACTGTTATAGACAATCCTCTCAACCCATTATGTACAAAACCGGAATGTCTTCCACGGCCACCTGCTGCATCTAATTCTGGTAAGTTACGAACAGCAGTATCTACACATTTTTAATAAATTCCGATCACTCTCGGGAATTCTTGATATCGAATGTCTAATAACAATCGTATTTTTATCGTAAATCATCATTTACATCATGATCCACACGTTTAATTTTTACTTTCCATTTATAAAACTCAATTTTCCATTATATCTTTCTTTTGCATTGACTTCGCGTGTATAACCTATTACGTATATATACATACATATATATTGTGTAGATGAAAAGGATTAATTAATGACACATTAGAGGTCAGGATCCAGTACATTAATCACACAAAAGACACGTGTCAGACGAAAATCTTGATACGCCGATTAAATATATCTTTTTTTGGGAGGAAATTCGTTCCGTGAACGCGATTTAAACAGGACGCGATGGTTCATCACTGATACGTGAATTCTACCAATACGTGCAATATAGATAAAAACGAAAGCAAATGGAGGTAATTCATAAAGGATTTCAAAAGTTTCCTTGATCCGAGTAACGTTCTTCTTCTTCTTCTTCTTCTTCTTCTTCTTCTTCTTCTTGTATACTTTTCATATCTATTTTAAGAAAACGCATGCTAGCCAACTATAATATAATATAGTCTTCGATAATACGTGAAATGTTTTCAATCATCGCTTCTCAAAATCATTCAAGAACTGTTTCGAAATATTTGCTTTACGTTTTGTTCGACGCGACGATCACTTCTTTATTACGCGAATACATCATTATTTCGACGATTTTTCTTTCATTTCTCTTTCGATGTGGATGACTCGAGCTTGGAAGTTCGAAGAGAATCCGAACGATTTACGAGAGAGCCTCGGAAGAAATATTTTTTCGAAAGTTCGAGCAACAGATATGTTTCGTTGGAAATTAGCAAGCAAACAGAAATCGCGCGAACGACGTGAGTTCCGTCCGGCGCTTAAAGATTCGGTCGATAGTACTTCACCAAAGAAAATAAACTCGGGCTCCCAGCCAGATGGAAAATCTCACTTTTCGCTTCTTTCGCGAGCAGTTGACCTAAATCGAATTATTCGACGATGCGTCGTTACTTTTATCTCTCCATCTTTTTCTATCTTCCTGCCTTTCTTTCTTTCTCTCTTTCTTCTTTCTTTCTTTCTCTCTTTCTCTCTTATTTCTTTCTCTCTTTCTTTCTTCTTTCTTTCTTTCTTTCTTTCTTTCTTTCTTTCTTTCTTTCTTTCTTTCTTTCTTTCTTCTTTACGGGTGAGTGGGGAAGAAAAAGTAGAAACGAACGCGACGTGCATTTAGCGGCCCCGAGGTGTGGCCATTGCCATGAATGAAAGTAAACTTACGCAAGTGGCGCCCTGACCTCTGTATCGTGACGTCATCCTCAATTACGCAAACTATTAATATTGTGTCGGAGCTTTTTTTCTCCAAATATAAATCCGATAAATTTATGTGCCCCTCCAGATCGAAAGCGGAACGAATCACTTTCTATGAATCATCTTCATCGAGATCGCATCGAGATTATTACTCACGCGA